TCCAAGTAGCTGGAACTACAGGCGCGCACTACCACACCCGGCTAATTTTTTATTTTTATTGTAGAGATGAGGTCTCACCAAGTTGCCCAGGCGGGCAAATATTTTCAAACTCAACATTGCTCTGTAACTTTTTTTTTTCTTGAGTTAAAAATATATTTTGAACAAACATGGGGCGTCCTTCCGGGACAATGGACCAGAACATGGGGTGAAATGTGAGTTTTATGGAGGAACAGTTTTTCGAGGTGCTTAAATCCTCCCTCACTGTGCTGCCCTTGTGACCTCTAGGACTAGGTCGTCAAAATGTACAGCACAAAACAGAAGCCTCTCTGGCCCCATGCCTAGTGACACAGAACTGCTTTACTGGTCCACACAGACACGGGTCCCATCCAAACTCAGTGCCCACCCACCACAGCTCTGTGGGCCACCTTTTTACAGAAGGCTTTCCATCTGATGCTCCTCCTCACCTGCTTGTTCTCCAGTCATGTTGTGGTCAATTTGCCATGGGAAGGCTGCAGTGGCCATGACAGTTGGAAACTATGAGGTGTAACTGGGGAAGAAAGGACACACTCCAAGTGTTCTTACTGCCTGTGATGATGTGGCTCAACGATGTGCCGGCTGTACAGGACCATGTTGCTTCTTCCATTGTCTAGCACAAAGGATTTTGTCATCATCACTGGGTAAGCACAGAGCAAAGACATTTTTCCCATGTCTAATTTTGAGATTTCAGTGAGGTCTTTTCATCTTGTCCAGGAGAACCAGAGGAGAAAAAAAGATACTTGATACTTGAAAGAAACTGGAGGAAATTTAAACAAACATTTGAAAGAAACTGGGAAGAAAAAGAAAATACTTTTTTTAAACATGAACATATTTCGCAGGAAGAAATAAGTATAAAGGATACTAAAGGCAAATATATGTGTGTAAATGGAAAACCACCAAACATCAGAAATGCGGTATCCACTCCCACATTCAAATCCCAGGGTCCTAAGGCCTCACAAAGCTCTTGGGGTTCCTTCTGAGACCTTTGAGCCCCAGCGTGTCTAGAATCAGTGCACTTTCGACTGGTCCCGTAGCAAGGCGCAGAGGACCTTTTAAAATCATAGGCTTAGAGAGTGGGCTGAATTACTGCCACTCTTCCAGGTGGGAGTACTCAGCTGTCACTGAAGGCTCCAGATGTCCCTGTGATTACCTCCCACTGCCACTGCAGCTGCTCTTTCAGATTCCCCACTCTCACTAACATTCCTTCCTTTTTTGATCAGCAAGAAACAGCCCATCCATCCTTCTTGGATGATTTCCCTCATTGTGATGCTTCTGGGCATGTTGACCATTTGTACTTCCAGAACCTAACCAGGGGCTTGCTCCTTTTACCAGTCATGGACTGACTTTGGTCTAATGACTTGTCTGCCTGCTCCATCCCCCTCCAATTCCAGGGGTCTGGTCTCCCTCCAGACCTTCACCAGCCAACCAGGAGGGTGAACCTTTACATACAAGCAAAGCTTTATGACAAAAAGAATTAAAGGCTGAAAGAGTCTCCTGCTGCTGCACATAACATATTTTCTATTTCTTCCTCTAATCTCGGAAATGACCTTTTAAAAAGACTCCATGCTACTTCCTCTTCTTGAGTGGGACCTTAATGTAGCACAGTGAGACCCAAACAGGAGAACATTTGCTATTACTAGTGTACTGGGCAACAGGGCTGTCCTTCACCTGCTGCTGCCAAAGTCTGGTTTTCTAAACTTCTAGTAGGGACTAAAAGCGGATAGAATTCCTTGGTCTTAGGGTCTCAGTCTCTACGTAGTTGGCTTCCTGTTCTTCACCACCTGCCTGGGGTGGCCTGGAAACCTGCTTAGAAAAGCACAATGTGGAGCCTGGGGCATCTTCCCCACTCCAGGATATCAGCCTAGCAGTGTGTGCAGTCACCATGTGTTCAGAGGGAAGTTCCTTTGTTGCCTGAAATTGAGGAGCTGAGCCTCTGCTACAAGCATTTTAAAAGGATGTTTTTATTTTAAAAGACTCAACAATCTGATATCTGATGTAGTTTAACCTGGGTTTGTTGTGGTGGAGTGCCAGTGCCATTTCTCTCTCTCTCCCGGTTTACCTGCAGAGGTAGACTCACAAGGAGGCTGTGGTCTGTGTTTTTTGTTAAAGAAGACTGTATCAGCTTTCATCTCATTATTATAAAGACCCCTTTTTGTGAATTTGAAACTGCACTGACAAGCCTGTATTGTGAAGGAATTAAGAACTGGTCGATGGGCTGCCAAGTGGGTCTTGCTGGGTCCTTAGGATGCTGGCCCAGATTTTGCCATTGGGGAAGATAGATCATTTCCCCATAATCTGCTGCTTTTATAGTGGCCTTCCTGAGTCCACTCCCACCTTCTGGTGTGGAGGCTACACTGCTGTGCCTGAGGTCAGTGTTTCCAAGTAAGATCGACCAGTGCTTTGATCTGGGCTGTGGGTGCAAGTGAGCAAACACCAACGTTTTCACACTCTCCCTAGTCAGGTTTCTTTGCAAATGGCTAATCTGGCTCTTTGGTGTTGGAGTCTTTCCTAGAGCACCATGAAAAGAAGAGTCATCACCCAAGGACACTGTGAAAAGAATGTAACAAGTAGATAAGACAGACATTGTGCTCAGTAAGCCTTGGGGTCTAGCCCAGTTCTGAGCAGAGGACTGTGGTGTTCCACTGTCCTAGAGCATTTCACTTCTTAGATAACAAATTTCATCTGAGATAACAGTCAGATGGAAGCTAAAGACCAGCCTCTTGACTTGACCAGAGAGATGTGACTAGGTGGGAATTCTGCCCTCCTCGCCCAATTTATTGTTTCTCAGAAAAATCTTATATCCTTTTATTTATGGAATGCAAGTCTTTTGTGTTAAGAAACCAAAGATAAATAGAAAGACAATGCTCCTAAAATGAGTGTGTGTGTGTGTGTGTGTGTGTGTGTGTGTGTGTGTGTGTTGATACCATCCTGTATAGATACACCTAATGTTTTACCATAAGAGGTATTGACTACAGTAAAAAATGTCCATCAGGCTTGTGGTTGTCTTAGCAGGCCATCATCCAACAAAGAAAAGATCAGAATCACTCCTCAGAGTGCAGCAAAGGAAGAGGAACACTGATACTCTAATGGTAAAATGGCACATCAGATTCCAGTGACAATAATTTTTCTTCAACTATATTTTAAAATTAAAAAGTATATATGCATATTGTTAAAATAATTTAGAGTATAAAAGGATGCACAATGAAAAGCAAGTCTCCTTCTTGCCATACATCCACAAAACAACTTTTATTTTTATTTTTTTGTGTGTTTTTTAAATGGTTTATTAGCGATATTTTAAGAAAGTAAATAGGGTGGGGTGCAGTGGCGTAGACCTGTAATCCCAGCACTTTGGATTGCCTGAGCCCAGGAGTTCAAGATCAGCCTGGGCAACATGGCAAGACCTCATGGCGCATATCTGTGGTCCCAGCTATTTGGGAGGCTGAGGCAGGATTGCCTGAGCCCAGGATGTCAAGGCTGCTGTCACTGTGATCGTGCCACAGTACTCCAGTCTGGATGATGAGTGAGACTCCTACTTAGATAGATAGATAGATAGATAGATAGATAGATAGATAGATAGAGCAAAATAAAAAAGTAAAAAGAAGCAGGTAAAATTAACTTTAGTAAATATACAGCCAATATTTTTAAAATGCTATCATTTTAACATGAACTCCATTTAGAAGTTTTTAATAAGATAGTTTACATTCTTCTTCTTCTTCTTTTTTTTTGGAACCAAATTTTTGAAGTCTGGAATGTGTTTCCAATTACAGTGCATCTCAGTATGAACTGATCACATCTCGAGTGCATATTGGCCACCACAAGTAGCTCCCGTGATGGAAGAAGGGAGGAGAAAGTAAAACCTCCCATCAGGGTTGTAAATAAGCAGTTACAATTCGCCATTGTGCCTTGATGGGCATAGCACAGTAGTTGTGTTGGTTGCTTGTCTCTTGGTCCTCAGTGCCATCCTTGCTTTTCCACATTTTCCTTTGTATTATATGAGTCCAGAAGACTACAGACTCCATTTTTCACAGGCCCTGCTCTTACTTCTGCAAGTAGGAGATGCTGGCAGGAAATCAGAATGTGGGAGAAAGGAGGAGTCAATTGCTGGGAATCCTGCTTGTGGCAGGGGTGCAGCCTGGATGACGATGGGGCCAGCCCCTCCCCTGACCAGCTCCACATGTGCTTGTGTGTGTCAGCCTGGGATATCGATACTTCCTTGTCTCTGGACATTACTGTTTCCTCGTCACAAAACAACTTTTATCAACTATCTACTGTATGGTCCTCTAGAATGGAGGATATGTATATATCCTTTTGAAAGCGTTAAAACAAAGATAATCATACTATACATAATACATTGTGAAACTTGCTGTTTAAAAAAACATTTTTTTAAAACTTTGAGTTAACTGTGGATTCACATGCAGTTGTAAGAAGCAATACAGAGAGATCCCATAGACCCTCCACTCAAATTCCCCCAGTGGTCACATGTGTCATGTAGGACACTATCACAACCAGGAAACTGGCATTGGTACAATCCACTGACCTCATTCTATTTTCATCAGTTTTACGTGTGTGTGTATTTAATCCTATGCAATTTTATCACATGTGTAGCTACATATAAGCACCCTCACAGTCACAATACAGAACAGTTCCATCACAAAGTCCTTGTGCTACCCTTTCAAAGCTATAGCTATCTCCCTTTCTTATTCAACATCCTTAAGCCCTGGTAACCGCACCTCTGCTTTCCATCTCTATAATTTGTCATTTCAAGAATATTATATAATGTAATCATATAGTGTATAACATTTTGAGATTGACTTTTTTCATGCAACATAATTCTCTGGATATTCATTGAGGCTATGATGTATATTAATAGTTCATTCTTTTTTATTGCTGAGTAGTATTTCATGGTATGGATGTACCATGGTTTGTTTCATTGTTTAAAAATTGAAGTACAATTTGGTTGCTTCCAATTTGGAGCTATCACAAATAAGTCTGCAACTTCATTTCCTCACTGAAAAAAATCTATAATTTATTGTCTGCATCAGGGATCTTTATTCTGGAGTCCACGAACTCCTAGAAAGTCCATTAACTTCCTGAGATTATATTTAAAATGTGTTGTTTTTATTTCAAGTGGCTCCATTGCTTTTGTTGAGAGTGACTTTTATTATTACCCATGTACTTGTGTTTCCATAGAGGAGAGGGATTTCAGTACTCTCCAGGAAGGAAATTTCTACTCCCTCTCTACCTCATATTAGCTTCTTCCCACAGGAGGAGGAGTAACTAATACTTATGATGGCCTATTTGGTTCCAATTCTGAACTGGGTTAACATGTTCAAGGTCACCGCAAATAAATGAGCTGATGTCTTGCTACATTTTTCTGTACACATGGCAATATTCTATTTCCTGCTTCTGTGACAAGGTCAGGACTTCTCCTACCTGTGACTAGATGACTAATTCTGTCTAATTTTGGAGGAAGGAGCAGGAAGTCCATTCTGGCTTCGGGGCCATTCCACATTTCTCCAACACAGTTTTTTTTTTTGAGTTGGAGTCTCACTCTGTCACCCAGGCTGGAGTGCCATGGCACACTCACAGCCACCCCAATGTCAACCTGCTGGGCTCTGGTGATTCTTCTACCTCAGCCTTC